ATCAGACTGAGGGTCGCATTGAGTGTCTTGACCCAAGATGGAGAAGGCATCAGACTGAGGGTCGCATTGAGTGTCTTGACCCAAGATAGAGAAGGCATCAGACTGTGGGTCGCATTGAGTGTCTTGACCCAAGATAGAAAGGGCACCTGAATGTGGATCCCGTTCTCGCTTGATCCAAGGCAGAGAGGGTATCTGACTGTAGATCTTATCAGAGTTTCTTGACCTCAGATAGAAAGGACACCTGACTATGGACCTCATTACAGTGTCTTGACCTAAGATTGAATTGGCACCTGACTATGGACCTCATCACAGTGTCTTGATCTTAGATAGAATTGGCAGCTGACTATGGACCTCATTACAGTGTCTTGACCTAAGATAGAATTGGCACCTGACTATGGACCTGATTACAGTGTCTTGACCTTAAATAGAATTGGCACCTGACTATGGATCTCATTACAGTGTCTTGACCTAAGATAGAAAGGACACCTGACTATGGACCTCATTACAGTGTCTTGACCAAAATAAGAACTGGCACCTGACTATGGACCTCATGACAGTGTCTTGACCTAAGATAGAATTGGCACCTGACTATGGACCTCATGACAGTGTCTTGACCTAAGATAGAAAGGACACCTGACTGTCGATTCCATTTGAGCGTCTTGACCTGAGGTAGAAAGGACACCTGACTGTTGATCTTATTACAGTGTCTTGACCTCAGATAGAATTGGCACCTGACTATGGACCTCATGACAGTGTCTTGACCAAAGATAGAATTGGCACCTGACTATGGACCTCATTAGAGTGTCTTGACCAAAGATAGAATTGGCACCTGACTATGGACCTCATTACAGTGTCTTGACCTAAGATATAATTGGTTCCTGACTATATATAAACCTAATTACAGTGTCTTGACCTAAGGTAGAATTGGCACCTGACTATGGATCTCATTACAGTGTCTTGACCAAAGTTAATATTGGCAGCTGACTATAACACCTTAATAACACATAAAATACATGTACATATATATACACACACATACACACGCATTTATTATGTAAACAAGTGAGCACTATTACGATACAACATATTAATTTGGGGTTAATCTAATACATTTCTGAAATTGAAGACATATTCACAGAATATCAATGATATGTTTTCCCATGTAAACTGGTTCGTAGTTCCAGATTGTATGTTTACTGACCCCAGTGCGAGCATATCATTCTCTTCCAGAAGTTCAATTTGAACATAACTTTCGATATCCAGTTTGTCAATGAGGGTAGAGAAGAATTCATTTCGATCACAATATTCACAGTGTAAAAGTACATGTCTGTCATAATCATAGGCATGTCTGCCACATTTAGCACATTCACGTGATGTAATGGGTCGGGGAGCGATCTTAAGGGAATATTGGATGCAATACCTAAGATGAGGATAAGTTAGTGCTTGTTTCCATTATACATGTAGTTTAAGTTTAGAGCGAACTGACCTGTATCGGGCCAGATCCTCTCTCAATGACAGTCTGAGTTTCCACCTACCTTCTTCATATGAGGGTATTTCATCACATACAATTCTTCTCCATTCCTTTTTACAAGGAAATATTCCAGTACTGATAAAGTTCATAATAACATTTTAAAGGATATATTTACGAGCCGTTAATATGATTGTGTCACATATGCCAGTGCTAGTTTTGATATTATGAGCATTGACAAAGGCTAAGTATGCACATATAATATGTTTCAAAGGAGAGAAGCATGAGTTTGTACACAGTCTTCCGAGGAGTAGTAGCCTGCATTTGTCTATGTATCCAGTCAGCGTCCACATTCCAAGATTTGCTATGGTTGAATCAGTTTATGATTTTTGGTCTTGGCCTTTGATGACTCTGGCAAAGTGCCGTTGAACATTTTCTATCTGAATCGCATCCTTACCACGTATGCCGCTTAGCAGCTCACACGCACATATAGAAGCTTGTAGAGAGAACCATTCGGTGCCATATTTTAACACATACAATAGGGTGGAGATCACAGATTTGAGTGAGCTTACTGTGCGCCTTGCGTTTGGGAACATCGCACTATCATATTGTACATGTCAGTTTAGTGTTTAGAATGACCCCCCTATATATTACACAATCTGATGTTTTTATAGGAACACTACCCAGTTGAAATTTGAAGGGATTATGTTGGGAATTCAATCTACTGAATATAACAGTTTGGCTTTTAGTGGCATTGTAAGTTAATCTCCATTCATAAGCATACTGTGTAACAGTGTTTAGAGCAACTTGTAGACCTGCAGGTGTGGCGCCGACTGATGTAGTGTCATCGCCAAGCATAACAACTGGGACCTTAAGTCCGTATACAATAATACCAAAATCTTTTCTTCTCAGTTCACAGATCAGATCATTAATATAAACAAGAAAGAGCCACGAAGAAAGTACTCGTCCTTGCCCGACACCCTGCTCAACAGGAGAAGTATGTGATATTTCACCACAGCAGGTGACATATGAACTACTAGTGCTGTAACTTTGACAGAGAAGATGCTACATCTTCCCCTTGATGCCTAAATCATACAGTTTTACAAATAGACCAGCATGCCAAATACGACCGAGGCCTTTTCATTGTCTAGGAAGGCTGCATATGCGGGTGATTTCCTGGATAAATAATAATTAACACATACATGTAATGTAAAGACAGACATGATGGCGCCATGCTCTTTTCGAAATCCGAATTGTAGAGGGTCTGGAAAGGATGGACATGGTACCTTACACCATTCTTCTAATCGTTATAAAATTACTTTTTCAAATATTTTCCCAGACATGATGTTAGAGTAATTACCCTGTAGGTTTTTGGATCTGATTTATCTTTTTCACCCTTGTAGATAGTCTGTATTTGTTTGGGAGATATTCCGCTTTGAGAATTATGTTAAATAAAGTGGTAAGTTTCGCGTGAAGATTATTGCATGCAAACAACAAGTTTTCATTGCACACGTTAACTGGACCTGATCTTTTGTTCTTACACAGACTGTGTATTTGTAAGGAGATCTCTCTAGGATCTATACATTTGTATAACTCTTCATCTATCTCAGTTTGATCACCATCCTGATTGTCCTTGATCTCCTAAAGCTTATCGCATATGTGACATTTGAAATTATCATTAGAACTATCAGAGTAGTAAGGCTGCGATAGGTCAGCGTAGTAATCTCCCCATAGTTTGCATATGCCAGAAGTAGATGATTCTGTTTGACCGCCATAACTGAACTTCGTCACCGATCGATTTTGCCGTTTGTGTTTCCTGACAGTTTTATAACAAGTGTTAATGTCTGCTTCACAGGACTGTGCTAACTCATTAAGCACCTCTTTACTATATCTCCCTTTGGCGATCCTATGTAAACGCCTAAACTCGCTTTTAGCAGTTTTATATTCAATATTATGTTGTAGAGTTGCGTCCCCTTGGTTTACTATCAGCACACCAAAGTCTTCTGGCAGCTCTCATTTCATAGTGAATATTATGTAAGTCGTTCTCCTTCCAGTAAGCTTTCAAGTGGAAATTGTACGTTCGGCAGATATTAACAAAGCATAGTAATCGCGGAGTTATACATTTCCCGCTCTCGGGTGATATATCATTTGGTGGAAAGTTAATATCTTGTAAACGGATCGGATCGGTATTGGGCTATGTACTCATTACCTGCTTTTGCCCATTTTGTGTATACAGTTTTTGTCCTATCTCCACTCGTATTACATTCCGTACGGAAGAGGGATACGTCGCAGGGCAAGTGATCTGATACATCATACGTACATCCATCTCACTCATCACATCTAACAACTGAGGTTTTCAGGTGAGATGGTAGCAGTATGTAGTCAATAAGTGATCTATGTAAGTTGTCTTTACTCCTACAAGTAACACCTGGTCCACGTGTACGTAGCTTTGCCACTGCACTAAGCAGATACCGCTGATTGATAGCGTCTAAAAGCAATGTCATGCGGCATTAGAATATCTTTGTTACTATCTGAATTTAGATCACCTAGAATAATAACATCGCTAAAGTGGTCGTAAGCATCTATTAGTTCATTTAGGGCATCGACATAAACAGAGTGAAGTACATTGGTAGATTTCATGTCCCTTATGGGCCACCGTACATATCAGACTGGATTCAGTTAAGCTTGGGGTCGAAGCTTCACGGAACGGAGGGAAGTTGCCTCAGGTGTGTACAGTAGCACATGTATAAAGAGTATCATGAAATAATTACATGACACGAATTGTTTGATTTCAGTGAATATATGACTTGCAAATCATGATAATATTATTGTTAAATCGCCTTTATGATATGAATGAAACATGTCATACATACATACATACATACATACAAATTGACCGTTACATTTATAAACTTACCTAAATATATTACACTTATTCATCTCACAAAATGACTCAGTAGATATATTCTGTGGCTGGTTCCTTGTGGTAGGTTTAGCACTTCCTATATCTCCTGCAATCTTTCACATGCAGCACAATGGACACTTCTACAGTGACAAGGAAGGCGTTCAATATATCAGTGTGGCCACCTGTCAAAACCAGATTGTGTCGCACATGTTGAGCAGACATCCGTTTGGATGAATGCCAGTGAATTATCTTGAACTAACATTACACAGAAAGGAGAAGTTAAGACAAACGAGAAATAGTGTAAATAAAAGCGACAAAACCTTTCCATAGTTTTATAAAACTCTCACCGTGTTAACAGATATTGCATTAGGTTCCTGACGGACCCAGGCAAACATAGTAACCAGCTTATCTTCCAAACCAAGGTTTCGAGGCGGTTCTCTTCCATACCTAGGTTTTGAAATGGGTCACTTCCTAACATGCTTTGAGGTTTGAGGTTGTTATACCTAGGTTTTACAAATGCCGTTTTATTAACTGGTCTCTTGATATGAACACTATATTGATTTTCTTTGGTTAAAAGCCACAGTTTAGTTACATGGAAATGCCATGAGGCGAATCGAAACTTCAGCCTTACATATCTTTAAAGTTGGGGGCTTGGGGGAGGATGACTGGGGCTTGGGGGAGGATGACTTGGTCTTGGGGGAGGATGACTGGGGCTTGGGGGAGGATGACTGGGGCTTTGGGGAGGATGACTGGGGCTTGGAGGAGGATGACTGAGGCTTGGGGGAGGATGACTGGGGCTTGGGGGAGGATGACTTGGTCTTGGGGGAGGATGACTGGGGCTTGGAGGAGGATGACTGGGGCTTGGAGGAGGATGACTGGGGCTTGGAGGAGGATGACTGGGGTTGGGGGAGGATGACTGGGGTTTGGGGAGGATGACTGGGGCTTGGGGGAGGATGACTGGGGTTGGGGGAGGATGACTGGGGTTTGGGGAGGATGACTGGGGCTTGGGGGAGGATGACTGGGGTTGGGGGAGGATGACTGGGGCTTGGAGGAGGATGACTGGGGTTGGGGAAGGATGACTGGGGCTTGGAGGAGGATGACTGGGGCTTGGGGGAGGATGACTGGGCTTAGGGGAGGATGACTGGGGTCAAATGGAGGATGACTGGGGCATGGGTGAGGGTGACTGGGGCTTGGAGGAGGATGACTTGGGCTTGGAGGAGGATGACTGGGGCATGGGTGAGGGTGACTGGGACTTGGAGGAGGATGACTTGGGCTTGGAGGAGGATGACTGGGGCTCTGGGGAGGATGACTGGGCTTGGGGAGGATGACTGGGGTTTGGAGGAGGATGACTGGGGCTTGGGGGAGGATGACTGGGGTTGGGGGAGGATGACTGGGGCTTGGAGGAGGATGACTGAGGCTTTGGGGAGGATGACTGGGGCTTGGAGGAGGATGACTGGGGCTTGGGGGAGGATGACTGGGGTTGGGGGAGGATGACTGGGGCTTGGAGGAGGATGACTGGTGTTTGGGGGAGGATGACTGGGCTTAGGGGAGGATGACTGGGGCTTAAAGGAGGATGACTGGGGCATGGGTGAGGGTGACTGGGGCTTGGAGGAGGATGACTTGGGCGTGGAGGAGGATGACTTGGGCTTTGGGGAGGATGACTGGGGCTTGGGGGAGGATGACTGGGGTTTGGAGGAGGACGACTGGGGTTTGGGGGAGGATGACTGGGGCTTGGAGGAGGATGACTGGGGCTTGGAGGATAATGACTGGGGCTTGAAGGATGATGACTGGGGCTTGAAGGAGGATGACTGGGGCTTGGAGGAGGATGATTGGGGCTTGGGGGAGGATGACTGAGGCTTGGGTGAGGATGACTGGGGCTTAGGGGAGGATGACTGGGGCTTAGGGGAGGACGACTGGGGCTTGGAGGAGGATGACTGGTGCTTGGAGGAGGACGACTGGGGTTTGGGGGAGGATGACTGGGGCTTGGAGGAGGATGACTGGGGCTTGGATGAGGATGACTGGGGCTTGGAGGAGGACGACTGGGGTTTGGGGGAGGATGACTGGGGTTTGGAGGAGGATGACTGGGGCTTGGAGGAGGATGACTGGGGCTTGGAGGAGGACGACTGGGGCTTGGAGGAGGATGACTGGGGCTTGGAGGAGGATGACTGGGGCTTGGAGGAGGACGACTGGGTTTTGGGGGAGGATGACTGGGGCTTTGAGGAGGACGACTGGGGCTTGGAGGAGGATGACTGGGGCTTGGAGGAGGATGACTGGGGTTTGGGGGAGGATGACTGGGGCTTGGAGGAGGATGACTGGGGCTTGGAGGAGGATGACTGGGGTTTGGGGGAGGATGACTGGGGTTTGGGGGAGGATGACTGGGGCTTGGAGGAGGATGACTGGGGCTTGGAAGAGGATGACTGGGCCTTGGAGGAGGATGACTGGGGCTTGGAGGAGGATGACTGGGGCTTGGGGGAGGATGACTGGGGCTTGGAGGAGGATGACTGGGGCTAGGAGGAGGATGACTCGGGTTTGGGGGAGGATGACTGGGGCTTGGGGGAGTATGACTGGGGCTTGGAGGAGGATGACTGGGGCTTGGAGGAGGATGACTGGGGCTTGCGGGAGGATGACTGGGGCTTGGGGGAGGATGACTGGGGCTTGGAGGAGGATGACTGAGGCTTGGAGGAGGATGACTGGGGCTTGGGGGAAGATGACTTATGCTCGGAAGACTGGGGTTTGGGGGTCGAGTATGCTTCGGGGAAGATGAGTGAAGCTCTGGGGAAGATGACTGGGTCCTGATTGAGTATAAGGGATGCATGAGGGAGGATAAGTGGTGCTTATAGGGGCATGAGTGATGCTCGGGGGAAAATGATTGATGCTCAGAGGGTTGAGTGATGCTTCGGGGAGGATGACTCGGGCTTGAGGGAGTGTGAGTGATTCCATATTAAGTGTCTTGACCTGAGATAGTAAGAACACCTGACTGTGGATCTTTTGAGAGTGTCTTGACCTGAGATAGAAAGGACACCTGACTGTTGATCTTATCAGACTATCTTGACCTGAGATAGAAAGGACACCTGACTGTGGATCTTATTAGAGTGTTTTGACCTGAGATAGAAAGGACACCTGACTGTGGATCTTATCAGAGTGTCTTGACCTGAGATAGAAAGGACACCTGACTGTTGATCTTATCAGACTATCTTGACCTGAGATAGAAAGGACACCTGACTGTGGATCTTATTAGAGTGTTTTGACCTGAGATAGAAAGGACACCTGACTGTGGATCGTATCAGAGTGTCTTGACCTGAGATAGAAAGGACACCTGACTGTTGATCTTATCAGACTATCTTGACCTGAGATAGAAAGGACACCTGACTGTGGATCTTATTAGAGTGTTTTGACCTGAGATAGAAAGGACACCTGACTGTGGATCTTATCAGAGTGTCTTGACCTGAGATAGAAAGGACACCTGACTGTTGATCTTATCAGACTATCTTGACCTGAGATAAAAAAGGACACCTGACTGTGATTGCTTCTGAAGAAACAAATGCACTTTGGACTTCAATCTTGACATTCACATCTCATAGCTTGCTTTCACTAAATATTAAAAAAACACTCCTATGATCAGATCACATTGTTTATTGAGTTAAGCTGCCATTGCCTGACTTTTTGGAACATACGACATATAAATAAGGAAATCATATCAGGAAAATCTTAAGACATTGAATGAATACATTGGAAGTGTCACTACACTAGGGGATAAATCTGTATCCATGTGGTTCAAAATAGTTATCATAGTCCATAGCAAAAACAGGCCAAGCGAAATAATGATTTTATCCTCTCTGTAACGTAGCTGACGGAATTCAGACATCGTTCTCTCGTGGATGTAGTGTGGGGACTGCGAGCTTCTAGAAACGTATACTCCCCTAATGTGACACCTCCTCCTCCATCATCATTGTTCTTACTTGCTGGAAATTCCTTTAAACAATCTTTAAAATGGATATCCTGATCAAATTCAACTTTCATCAGTATAAATTTAAACACCACATGCAAACGTTTACAAATAGTAAGAACCACTAAACATAAAACTGCACTTCTCGTTATGTCCTTAAAGAACAGTTTTGGGTAAAATCGTTCGAAACAGATACGCTGATTGTACCCTTGATGACAAAAAACCCTCATGTACTGTCTCCTCGCTTCTTCTTCTCACACAGACATAATTTATTAAGGTCTCACCCCAATAGCATGAAGCAATATGCATATACAACATTAAACAGGTAGTCCCCTCTATATAATGTGAGGTGAGGTGAAATTGGTTTAACGTCGCGTCCAAGATTATTGCACTTATATAGCGACGTGCATGCACGTGTGTGTGTGTGGCTGCTTGTACTAGTCCGGACTGATGCCGATTTATAGTGCTAGTTCACTGAGATACCATGCCGCAGTTGAACATGAATATCCCACTCAGACACAGTATACTGACTCCGAGCCGACCAGTCCTTGTTTTAGCCCCTTTAGGCCGAACGCCAGACAGGGTAACAACAAGTTCCATCTTACAACGTCTTTTGGTATGACGCGGCCGGGGATCGAACCCCAGACCTTCCGCTCTTCGGGCGGACGCTCTACCACTAAACCACGGAGGCGACCCCTCTTTACGGAGTTACAAGAGACTGTAAAAAGTATATATATGTACACAAATAGATATTTATGTACAATTATATAAAATAGATTTCCTTTTTTGTAAGGTATTATGGTAAGTTTGGCGGTCAAAGAACATAAAACATTGCAAGATAATATAAAGGCTGGGTTTTTTACATATCACAAAGTTAATTAAAACCTGGCTATACATGACAATGTTCTTTTGAAAGTTTAAAACGCTCATCAGTATTAATAAGATTAACAACGTTATCACAGTTAAAACAGGCTTCAACAGGCTTATTCCAGTATCGACCATGCTCGATGTTTATTGGGGATGTTCATCTGCTAATTCTAGAAAGCGCACCCCTGTGTGATCGGGGCATAGGGAGGGTAGTATTCATGTTTAAAAATACAATATAATATAAACAGTATTACCTCCCTTACCCGAAGCAGTATATGGTTGTGACATAGCTTGTTTCCAGTGAGTTTATCATCTATCAGATATCACACGTTGTACTTCAGCTTTTATAAAAAATATGTTAAAATTATTTTTAGAGGGGAAAATATTCTGTATCAAGATCGCTAAGCTGATCACTAACCCTTACTTATTGAAGACCAACCACACCGTTGTGTTAGCGAAGTAACAGTACGATACCCCATCCCTCCTAAAAGTTTATACTTAGGGAACAATTAACCAAGACCTCTGGTGGAAACCTTTGCCATACGTGACAAGTCTAAATGTTCAGTCAACAGTAACCCAAAATAACAATAGTTATCTACAACTCCTAAAATATGCTCACTTCACAAGAATATATTGTTCCATACTGTTTCTGGTTTTCAATAACAGAACATTATATACATGGAGGAGGGAGTTTGATTCTATATAAGTGCACAGTCTGTTCTTCAACACTCCATAGTAAAGATTATATCTTGCTCTTGCAAGTGTGATTCATCTACACGCTTTGGGTTTTCTTGGATCCTCTCTTGAACTTTTCGGGATTGGCCTTTGGCCCACGTTGACGATATTACACTTTGGGTAAAACAGTTGTTAAAAAGTTTATGGAGATCAGTTCAACAGTTAATATGTTTAACACTTCTACAGGTATATCGTCCAGGCCAGGTGCCTTCCCCCTTTCAGCATCCGCCAGCACATACCTCACTTCTATCGTAATAGGTAATTTCAGATCACTGTCACTGTCCTCATCAATGTCATCCTGGATGACGTCACTGACGCTGCGGTTGAGTAGATCTGCATAAGCGTCTCTCCATGCCCCCAGCACAACGTCAGTCTTCCCGCATGTGGAGCCGTGGAGCCGCCCTCCAAAGGAATTACTTTCTTTCTTTCAAAACCTACACCAACTTTACCTATTTTCTTCCAAAACGACCCCGAGTTTCCTTCACATTGGTGTTCCAAGTCCGACAAATTCTTGCATTGAAAAAACACGTTTTGCTTTCTGCACCTGTCTATCTATCAAAGTCACCTTTTTCCTATGAGACCGCCTCCGTGGTCTAGTGGCAGAGCGTCCGCCCGCAGAGCGGAAGGTCCGGGGTTCGATCTCCGGCCGCGTCATACCAAAAGACGTTAAAAACAAGGACTGGTCGGCTCGGAGTCAGTATACTGTGACTAAGTTGGGTATTCATGTTAAACTGCGGCATGGTATCTCAGTGAGCTATCACTATAAATCGGCATCAGTCCGGACTAGTACAAGTAGCCACAAACACAAATACACGTCGCTATATAAGTGCAATACTCTTGGACGCGACGTTAAACCCCATTTCACCTCACCTCACCGTTTTCCTATGTAGATATGCTTCAAGCGAACTTTAACCCCATTTTCCTTCCGCTATACACACTAATACCATATATGCCTCGAGGGATCGGTTGACAACGAATTTAGCTAATCGACATTGATTCATAACGTTCCGGAATAGATGTTCGAATTTTCACTGAGTAAAACGATTTGATTCAGCCTTTATGACAGCTAGCATACGACGCACTCGAAGAGTTACTTCCCTTTACCAAATGCATTCGGATAAACGTTGGTTCATTTCACTCAACGATACTGTTGCCACGTAACCAGATTACCTAAGGTGTGTTCCGATTGATTGATTTCTCAGACTGGTATATGAGCAGGCTACATGGAACATAATTGCCATATCATTAATCAGAAGTTAGTATTTTAATGTAAGGTGAGATAAATGTGTTGCCTGGTTGTAGGTAAACCTGATTATCTGGGTTTAATTTACTTGCAACCATAAAATACCTTCGAAAGTACATTCCAAAACGTATACCATCTATAACAGATGCATCAAAATAATCATACTGTTCACATTTGATGAAAAACCAACCTCCACCCGACCCACACTTTGCCTTGATATGAGCCTGTGTTTTTTTGTTTCCGTGCCATACATGTCCATCAATATATATATATATATGTATATCAACTTTGCCACGTTCATCCGCCTTATCAGGGGGTAATGTGTACCGACAGTTCCTGTCGTTGCTATGACGGTGGCCCCGGGGCTGCGATCTCAGTAACAGTTCAAAGTGTGGGCGCTGGGCACATGATAGCAGATTTCTTGCACACAAGTCAAGATACTCAGTGTCTATGAATGAAGGCTCTCCCATTCCTACAGTATATATAAACATCAGGCTTTATAACATACATATAAACGTTAAACTATAAACACATAAAACCTACATGTAAATGAGCATGGGGGAGGGTGAGTGGGGCCTGGAAGAGGGTGAGTGGTGCCTGGGAGAGGGTGAGTGGTGCCTGGAAGAGGGTGAGTGGGGCCTGGGAGAGGGTGAGTGGGGCCTGGAAGAGGGTGAGTGGGGCCTGGAAGAGGGTGAGTGGTGCCTGGGAGAGGGTGAGTGGTGCCTGGGAGAGGGTGAGTGGGGCCTGGGAGAGGGTGAGTGGGGCCTGTGGGAGGGTGAGTGGTGCCTGGGAGAGGGTGAGTGGGGCCTTGGGGAGGGTGAGTGGTGCCTGGGAGAGGGTGAGTGGGGCCTGGGAGAGGGTGAGTGGGGCCTGGGGGAGGGTGAGTGGTGCCTGGGAGAGGGTGAGTGGGGCCTGGAAGAGGGTGAGTGGAGCCTAGGAGAGGGTGAGTGGGGTCTGGGAGAGGTTGAGTGGGGCCTGGAAGAGGGTGAGTGGTGCCTTGGAGAGGGTGAGTGGTGCCTTGGAGAGGGTAAGTGGGGCCTAGAAGAGGGTGAGTGGAGCCTAGGAGAGGGTGAGTGGGGCCTGGGAGAGGGTGAGTGGAGCCTGGAAGAGGGTTAGTGGTGCCTTGGAGAGGGTGAGTGGTGCCTGGGAGAGGGTGAGTGGAGCCGTGGAGAGGGTGAGTGGGCTTGGGGGAGGTTGAGTGGGGCCTGGAAGAGGGTTAGTGGTGCCTTGGAGAGGGTGAGTGGGGCCTGGAAGAGGGTGAGTGGAGCCGTGGAGAGGGTGAGTGGTGCCTGGGGGAGGGTGAGTGGAGCCGTGGAGAGGGTGAGTGGGGCCTGGGAGAGGGTGAGTGGGGCCTGGGGGAGGGTAAGTGGGGCCTGGAAGAGGGTGATTGGGGCCTGGAAGAGGGTGAGTGGGGCCTGGGAGAGGGTGAGTGGAGCCTGGAAGAGGGTGAGTGGTGCCTGGGAGAGGGTGAGTGGTGCCTGGGAGAGGGTGAGTGGGGCCTGGGAGAGGGTGAGTGGGGCCTGTGGGAGGGTGAGTGGAGCCGTGGAGAGGGTGAGTGGGGCCTGGGAGAGGATGAGTGGGGCCTGGGAGAGGGTGAGTGGGGCCTAGGAGAGGGTGAGTGGAGCCTAGGAGAGGGTGAGTGGGGCCTGGGAGAGGGTGAGTGGGGCCTGGGGGAGGGTGAGTGGGGCCTAGGAGAGGGTGAGTGGAGCCTTGGAGAGGGTGAGTGGGGCCTGGGAGAGGATGAGTGGTGCCTGGAAGAGGGTGAGTGGGGCCTAGGAGAGGGTGAGTGGGGCCTGGGAGAGGGTGAGTGGAGCCTGGAAGAGGGTGAGTGGAGCCTAGGAGAGGGTGAGTGGGGCCTGGGAGAGAGTGAGTGGGGCCTGGGAGAGGGTGCGTGGGGCCTGGGAGAGGGTGAGTGGGGCCTAGGAGAGGGAGAGTGGGGCCTGGAAGAGGGTGAGTGGGGCCTGGGAGAGGGTGAGTGGGGCCTATGAGAGGGTGAGTGGGGCCTGGAAGAGGGTGAGTGGGGCCTGGGAGAGGGTGAGTGGGGCCTGGGAGAGGGTGAGTGGGTCCTGGGAGAGGGTGAGTGGGGCCTGGGAGAGGTTGAGTGGGGCTTGGGAGAGGGTGAGTGGGCTTTGGGGAGGGTGAGTGGAGCGTCGGGGAGGATGAGTGGGGTTTAGGAGTGGGTGAGTGGGGACTGGAAGAGGGTAAGTGGTGCCTGGGAGAGGGTGAGTGGGGCCTGGAAGAGGGTGAGTGGGGCCTAGGAGAGGGTGAGTGGGTCCTGGGAGAGGGTGAGTGGGGCCTGGGGGAGGGTGAGTGGGGCCTAGGAGAGGGTGAGTGGAGCCTTGGAGAGGGTGAGTGGGGCCTGGGAGAGGGTGAGTGGTGCCTGGAAGAGGGTGAGTGGGGCCTAGGAGAGGGTGAGTGGGGCCTGGGAGAGGGTGAGTGGAGCCTGGAAGAGGGTGAGTGGAGCCTAGGAGAGGGTGAGTGGGGCCTGGGAGAGAGTGAGTGGGGCCTGGGAGAGGGTGCGTGGGGCCTGGGAGAGGGTGAGTGGGGCCTAGGAGAGGGAGAGTGGGGCCTGGAAGAGGGTGAGTGGGGCCTGGGAGAGGGTGAGTGGGGCCTATGAGAGGGTGAGTGGGGCCTGGAAGAGGGTGTGTGGGGCCTGGGAGAGGGTGAGTGGGGCCTGGGAGAGGGTGAGTGGGTCCTGGGAGAGGGTGAGTGGGGCCTGGGAGAGGTTGAGTGGGGCTTGGGAGAGGGTGAGTGGGCTTTGGGGAGGGTGAGTGGAGCGTCGGGGAGGATGAGTGGGGTTTAGGAGCGGGTGAGTGGGGACTGGAAGAGGGTGAGTGGGCTTTGGGGAGGGTGAGTGGAGCGTCGGGGAGGATGAGTGGGGTTTAGGAGCGGGTGAGTGGGGCCTAGGAGAGGGTGAGTGGGGCCTGGAAGAGGGTGAGTGGTGCCTGGGAGAGGGTGAGTGGGGCCTGGAAGAGGGTGAGTGGGGCCTAGGAGAGGGTGAGTGGGGCCTGGGAGAGGGTTAGTGGGGCCTGGAAGAGGGTGAGTGGGGCCTAGGAGAGGATGAGTGGGGCTTGAGAGAGGATGAGTGGGGCTTGGGAGAGGGTGAGTGGGGCTTGGGAGAGGGTTAGTGGGGCTTGGGAGAGGATGAGTGGGGCTTGGGAGAGGGTGAGTGGGCTTTGGGGAGGGTGAGTGGGGCCTGGGGAGGGTGAGCGGGGCCTGGTAGAGGGTGAGTGGAGCCTGGGGGAGGATGAGTGGGGTTTGGGAGAGGGTGAGTGGGGCCTGGGAGAGGGTGAGCGGGGCCTGGTAGAGGGTGAGTGGAGCCTGGGGGAGGATGAGTGGGGTTTGGGAGAGGGTGAGTGGGGCCTGGGAGAGGGTGAGTGGGCTTGGGGGAGGGTGAGTGGTGCCTGGGAGAGGGTGAGTGGGGCCTGGGAGAGGGTGAGTGGAGCCTGGGAGAGGGTGAGTGGGCTTTGGGGATGGTGAGTGGGGCCTGGGAGAGGGTGAGTGGGCTTGGGAGAGGGTGAGTGGTGCCTGGGAGAGGGTGAGCGGGGCCTGGTAGAGGGTGAGTGGGGCCTGGGAGAGGGTGAGTGGAGCCTGGGAGAGGGTGAGTGGGGCCTGGAAGAGGGTGAGTTGGCCCAGGGTGAGGGTGGGTGGGGCCTTGGAGAGAGTGGGTGGGGCCTTGGAGAGGATGACCGTGGCCTTGGAGAGGATGAGCGGGGCCTGGGAGAGGATAAGAGGGGCCTGGGAGAGGGTGAGTGGGGCCTGGGGGAGGGTGTTTGGGGCCTGGGAAAGGGTGATATTAGCTCTCACTGCAGTCTCCGATGAATCCTGATCGTCAACTACGCCACATGGCATTGTCTGTAACTTTTCTGACATCTATACCTTACTGCAGTAGAAGCCTTATTCTGTCATAGTTCTCACCCGGAGCTACATAGTGAAGTGGCGTTTTGCCTTGCTCACATTTGGCGCAGTGATCAGAACCGTTCTTGAGGAAAAGACTTACACTCTCCAACGCCCCACCCCGAGCTGCACAGTGAAGGGGTGTCATGCCTTGTACATCCTTTGCACAGAGGTCAGTGGTGCCTGGGAGAGGGTGAGTGGGGCCTGGAAGAGGGTGAGTGGGGCCTGGGAGAGGGTGAGTGGGGCCTGGAAGAGGGTGAGTGGGGCCTAGGAGAGGGTGAGTGGGGCTTGAGAGAGGATGAGTGGGGCTTGGGAGAGGGTGAGTGGGGCTTGGGAGAGGGTTAGTGGGGCTTGGGAGGGGATGAGTGGGGCTTGGGAGAGGTTGAGTGGGCTTTGGGGAGGGTAAGTGGAGCCTGGGGGAGGATGACTGGGGTTTGGGAGAGGGTGAGTGGGGCCTGGGAGAGGGTGAGTGGGCTTGGGGGAGGGGGAGTGGGGCCTGGGGAGGGTGTGCGGGGCCTGGTAGAGGGTGAGTGGAGCCTGGGGGAGGATGAGTGGGGTTTGGGAGAGGGTGAGTGGGGCCTGGGAGAGGGTGAGTGGGCTTGGGGGAGGGTGAGTGGTGCCTGGGAGAGGGTGAGCGGGGCCTGGTAGAGGGTGAGTGGGGCCTGGGAGAGGGTGAGTGGAGCCTGGGAGAGGGTAAGTGGGCTTGGGGGAGGGTGAGTGGGGCCTTGGAGAGGGTGAGTGGGGCCTGGGAGAGGGTGAGTGGGCTTGGGGGAGGGTGAGTGGGGCCTGGGAGAGGGTGAGCGGGGCCTGGTAGAGGGTGAGTGGGGCCTGGGAGAGGGTGAGTGGGGCCTGGAAGAGGGTGAGTTGGCCCAGGGTGAGGGTGGGTGGGGCCTTGGAGAGAGTGGGTGGGGCCTTGGAGAGGATGACCGTGGCCTTGGAGAGGATGAGCGGGGCCTGGGAGAGGATAAGAGGGGCCTGGGAGAGGGTGAGTGGGGCCTGGGGGAGGGTGTTTGGGGCCTGGGAAAGGGTGATATTAGCTCTCACTGCAGTCTCCGATGAATCCTGATCGTCAACTACGCCACATGGCATTGTCTGTAACTTTTCTGACATCGATATCTTACTGCAGTAGAAGCCTTATTCTGTCATAGTTCTCACCCGGAGCTACATAGTGAAGTGGCGTTTTGCCTTGCTCACATTTGGCGCAGTGATCAGAACCGTTCTTGAGGAGAAGACTTACACTCTCCAACGCCCCACCCCGAGCTGCACAGTGAAGGGGTGTCATGCCTTGTACATCCTTTGCACGGAGGTCAGCACCTTTCCATAGAAGAAGACGTATGCTGCCGGATGCCCCACTCTCACCTGCATAGTGCAGCGGTGTCCTGCCTCGTTCATCCTTTGCGCAGAGGTCAGCACCTTTCTGTAGAAGAAGACGTATGCTGCGGAATGCCCCACTCTCAGCTGCATAGTGCAGTGGTGTCCTGCCTCGTTCATCTCTTGCACAAGGGTCAGCTTGCTTCTGAAGGAGAAGCTCGATGATGACACGCTCACTACTCTGAACAGCAAAGTGAAGAGGTGTCCTGCCTTGTTGATCCTTTAAACAGGGATCGGCACCTTTCAGTAGCAGCTTTTTAACACAGCGTTTGAGATCAGGTAAATGCACAGTTGCATAATCACATGCATCTTCATCTGCATCTTCAGCTGCATCTTCAGACTCAACTTTCACGAGAGTCATAGCTGCGCAATGAAGAGCGGTTCGTCCTAAGTCATCCTGTATGCATGTATCAGCACATTTGTTTAGGAGAAACTCAATGTTGTCACAGAGTCCACTCCTTGCTGCATAATGAAGAGATGTTTTTCCCTTCTGGTCCTGTAACGATACTCCTTTTTCTAAGAGTAACTCAATGCCTTTAGAATGCCTAATCTGGGCCGCATAGTGTAGAGGTATCCTCCCCAGATTATCTCGTATGCATGGATTAGCACCTCTGCCTAAGAGTGCCCCAATGGCGTGTCCTCTCTGGGCTGCATAGTGCAGTGCTGATTTCCCACTTTGATCTTGTGCATCCATGTCCAAACCAACTTCCAAAAGCAACTCAAGTCTGTTATAATATGGACTCTCTGCAGCAAAGTGAAGAACTGTTTTACTCTGGTGGTCTGGTATGAAAGGACTGGCGCCATTCTGCAAGAGTAGCTTGATACTAGTAACGTTTCCAACCCTTGCTGCATGGTGAAGAGCTGTTGTTCCATGTTCGTCTTGCAGATTAACTTTTAAACCTTTCTCTAAAACAAACTTTACAATGTCACTATTGTTACTTTCTGCCGCAAAATGAAGAGCCGTCTTTCCAATATTGTCTTTCATATGTGTTTCGTCATCGTTGCCTGAAAGTAACTGAACTGTCCTTATATCAGGTCCACCTAATGCATAGTGAAGGGCTATTCTGTCTTGGTTATCCTTAATTGATGAATCAGCACCTTTCTTTTGAAGCATATATACGAATTCACTACTCTCCCTCTTTGCAGCATAGTGCAAAGCAGTTTTGCCCTGCTGATCTTGTATATTTATATCCAAATCTGAATGCAGGAAAAATCTAACACCCTCACTACAAGCATGTTCAACTGCAACGTGAAAAGCCGTTTTGCCATGGTTGTCTTGTTTGCCTGCATCAGCACCTGATTGTAAGAGAAGTCTAACATCACTAATCCAGTTGCTTGATGAGTAGTGTGCACGCAAACCCTGCTGCCTCACATGTGTTGCATAATGAAGAGCTGTTTTGCCGTGCTCATCTCTGATGTTTGGATCAGCACCTGCATGTAGGAGAAGTTTCATAACCTCTTCGAAACCACGTTCTGTTGTGTAGTGAAGTGCCGTTTTGCCATGTTGATCTATGGTGCATGGATCAGCCCCGTTATCGAGAAGTTGCTTTGCAGTGCACATACTTTCAGCATAGTGTAGGGGAGTCTTGCCAAGCTTATCTACTATACCCAAGTCAGCACCATTGTCCAAAAGGAGGCTGACTTTAGCGTGATGTTGATGTTGTACAGCGATGTGTAGTGGAGTTTTCCCTTGATCGTCTTGTGTGGAAAGAACAGCACCATTTTCTAGGAGTAGTTTCATAGTATCATTGACTTCCAGTTCTGATGCATAGTGAAGTGGAGTTCTGCCCTGCTTGTCCTGTATGCAGGGATCTGCCAGTGTATCTAAGAGTAGCTTTACAATGCTAGTGTTACAATCAATGGATGCAATATGAAGGGCAGTCATCCCTTTATGGTCTGTTAAACCTGCCTTAGCACCTTTCTCAAGTAGCAGTCGAACGTTGTTGTCATCACAATTCTCTGCAACATAGTGAAGGGCTGTCATTCCATAGTGATCTTGAATATTTGCATCTGTTCCAATGTCTAAGAACATCCGAATAATGTCAACATTTGGTCTCAAGGCTGCACAGTGAAGAACCGTCTGACCAAAGATATTTTGAACACTTGGATCAGCTCCTTTACCAAGCAGCATCACAATGATGTCCTTGTTTGGAAGTGCTGCTGCAATATGCAGACAATCTCTCAGGAACTGATCTTTAATATTGGGTTCAGCACCATATTTAAGAAGTAGCTCGACTATTGCAGAATGTCCCACTTTTGTTGCACAATGTAGGGCTGTTTCATACTTGTGGTCTTGTAGACATGGATCAATGCCCCGTTCTAACAATAACTTTACACTGTCCAAATTATCTGTCCGTGAAGCATAGTGAAGGGCTGTTCGTTCCTTTGCATCTTTGACAGATGGATCAACACCATTGTCAAGTAGAAGCTTAATATACTTATGTTTACACTTCCTTTTTGCGACATAATGAAGGACAGTCTTACCTTCTGCATCTTCGACACATGGATCAACACCTTCGCTGATTAGAGTGCTAACCATATCCACGTTTTCCATCTCAACTGCATAGTGGAGCAATGTTTTTCCAAAGTTATTTTGTGCATCAGGAGAAATACGTTTTGCCAGCAGTAACTTTATGAAATCAACTGATGGTGGTTTCGTGATATCTATCATGCTAACCCTATTAGGAAAGAATAGGTCCAACAACAGATTGTTTCCAAGATAATCCCTCTGATTTACATCCAATCCTCTGTCAGCCAGGAAATCAAATGCCTCCATGTCTTTTGTCATTACAGCTGACCTCAGTGCTGGAAACAAGGCTGACCTCCAACCATTGTCTGTCACATCAAGAGGTATCTGTTTGACGTCAAGGAGATATTTGAGTTTCTCTACAGCATCAATGCTGGATCCAGCTGCCTTATGTAATACAGTTTCCCCATCGAAATCAACAACATCAAGGGTAGCACCATATTCACAGATAGCCTTCAAAACATCAACATCGGAATTCCGGCAAACCACATGAACAACTCTTTTGCAGACTTTTAATGCATATCTTTGTACATCAACATTCAGATCCGCGCCTCTGCTGCTCAAGAGCTTCACACCTGCCAAATCACCAGCCTCAGCGCATCTGTAGATGATAGGCTTGTATTTTGTATCAACCTGATTCATGTCACTGCCAGCCTCCATCAACAGCTTCAGAATTTCAAACTTTGGACATCGGAACTCTTCAAGACAGGATAATGGCATATAGCCTGAATGATTCCTAATATTAACTGAGGCATTCCTTCCAATTAGGAATTTCAAGGTATTGGCTTGACTATGTTTTACAGCTAAATGCATTGGTGTGTTACCATGACTATCCTGGACATTGACATCGACTCCCTTGTCAAGTATCAACGCCGCACATTTCACATTACCGTGCTTAGCTGTTATCAGAAGTAATGATGCATATAAGTCTAATGAGCCCTGTGTGTTGTCCTCATTGTGTAATTTCAGTAGGTAATCAAGGCACTCCTCTCCTCCATAAGCTGCTGCTTGTTGTAGACTGGTTGGATACATTTGCTCTATTATGTTTAGATCTTCAATTCTTGCATTTACTTTTAGGACTTCCATACCTCTTTTCTGTATGAGTCTCAGAGTAGTAGCACTTGAGTGTGTAGCGGCCAGTAATACACTATTTGCAGAGATACAATTCTGTCCCAAACCTAACAGGAAATCTATTGTGTCATATAAATCAGTCATTGCCTGTTGCTTTTCCCGAGTTTTATTGGCTCTACTCATTTCTCTGAATAAGGATTTTAAACAATTGATAAAGATGAAGTTCTTCTCACCCTGTAAGGTGTCAGCCAGCTGCCGCACAACATAATGATTTCCGTTCAGCAAAGCCTCTGTAAACAGATATTTCAGATCAGGAATGGAGTCCCATGTGAAATCTCCTAATCTGCATCCTGTATTGACTGTTGTTGTCCTACTGTCTGACAGCACACATGAAACTATAACATCAGCTATACCACTCTTTATACCTGATGATGTACAGAGGGCCCTGAAGCAGTTCTCATCTGGCTTTACTCCAGTATCTAGAAGGGATTGTGCAACAACGTTGTCACCGACATAGGTGGCACATGGTAAACATTCTTGTAGAATTTCATGAAATTCTTCTTGGTCTGGTAATAGCAAACCTTTCATTGGCATCTCTTTTAGTATTAGAAGAGGGACCAGGTATTGGACCTGAAATAATGCGAGATGTGTTCCATCGAGATGAACATGAGAAACTTGCTTCACTGACTTAAAACGACATTGCCAGATTTGTGTCATTTTCCCCTGAAAATTCCATCTGCTGAACAAAAACTGTACAAAGTCATGCTCTCTAAGAGATGGATGATTCAAGATGTCACTGGGTGACTCCTGCAATAACATTATGTCTGTAATTCGATCAGCAAACACAGCATAATGTTCCTCATTCAGGTATACCATCGTTTCACTGTCATAGGTTCCATGTTGTGTTGTTCGGACATGTTCTACAAGTAGCGTTTCTGGACACAATTGAATACATACTTCTGGATATTTCCGTGATATCTGAACAAACATGCATTCTTGTATAGATTGATGCTGAAACTTGTAAGTGTTTTCATTTTGATGTAAGTAAACCCCACAAAGTGAATTGACCTTCTCTCTGACTCCAGCAAGACTTGGAGATTGCGACAAGTTTGGGCACATCTCTTGTAACGTCTCCATTGTTTTCCTGAACTCTGGTGTTCTGCTTGTAAGCAACTGACTTGTTTTAAGACCACCATTCGTCATCAGTACAAGCAGGAGAACGTAGTACCCAATGCTATCACTTTCCTCTAATCTCTCTATCTCTTCAAGGATAAAGTCGTGAGGTTTTAGGAAGAAGTTCACTCCTTTGATTTGTGATTGTTTGCTGTTTGCATAGAATTTACAACACTGTGGGAAACCAAGAGACGACACTGATTGGGTTATTTGCTTAAATTCATCGTTAGTGAAATCAGCCTTGTATTGACAAATAACGTTTATCATCTTCTTTTTTTCGGCAGGTCTAAATGCATATTCCCCTTCATCTATTGTAAGAACAGGCATGTTCTTGATGAGGTAGTATTTATTTACCAATGGTTGGCACTCACGATGGGAATAAATTTCTGGCCTAGATGTTATAACCAGGTAAATGTGACCCGATGCAACTGATGGCCACATTAAGTTGAATGTTCTCGACCATTCATCTACAATTGCCTCCACAATGTTACTGGATCCAAAGATATTGTCTAACATCACGCTGTACTTCTGCGTCCCTTGCCCCTTCCTTTGTGGTATCAACTTCCATTGTTTAGGGGATGTTAATATAACTGGCACTCGCCCTTCCTGTGTGGATATGTCGGCCAGTAGTCTCAGTCCCAGTCTTGATTTCCCTGTTCCTGACCTTCCTTGGATGAAAACACAGCCGTGACTTTTTAGCAGCTTCAGGGCTGATCGCTCACAGAAGGTGGAGACATACTCTGTGTTGTCATAGTCTATCAAGTCTTTTGTTGATTCTGTAATCAGAAACAAATCAACAACACAATCAGGTTGTTGATGAACACTATTGTTTACTGTAGCGTTTTAGTATCATATAACCAGTCACTCACTTTATCCATACGATGTCTCTATATAAATGAGTGCGCACGTGTGACAGCGCCGGAAGTGTGTGTTGTGCGCTAGCAGACCACATGGCTGCCGACTACACTTGACTGAGTGTATTGACATGTAATGAGAGAATACAACCTTTCCCCGGAAAGCCAAGTGTTTGTTGTAGCTGCCAAAGTCATCACATTTACATTTATGACCAAATAGAAGATAGCTAGAGAAATAAATAACGAAGCGTTGTTTATTTAATGCTTCAGTGTGAAAGACTGAGTTTTCTGAAGTTGAGAAAAGTGATATTTTCATTCCAGTGAACATAACACTTTGACAGAACTATTGTAATACAAGAGTTACTTCCCTGCAAATTGTCTCCCTTAACCGTGTCTAGCCCCAAGCTCCTCATAGCGAAATCCCGTTTGTGGAGCTCTCTATACTATCGTTGTCACCAATAAAAGCTCCCCATTGTGATAGGTGGCGACAACCGCCCGATCGTTATCTGTACAAACAAGTGATGACTGTCGTGACGTCGAATACTCTTACCCCTGATAAATCAATTTCTTTGCCAATTTGAATTTCTTTTAATAACAACTATCATGTAATTCATATAGTAAGAATGTAAAGGGGAAGTTGGTTGATTATCCATTCGTCTGCATACTCGAACCAATCCGATCAAACAAACAAAAAGGAAAATTCACCTGGGAAATATGGTAAATCGTAAACTTTTTAAAAATTCACTATGCTTGCATTCCCAAAGGCATAAGCAAAAGTATACACATTACTACATTTGGGATTAGAGGGCAAATTTCAAGATTCTTGTGAAGGCTGCACACACACTGGTGGCAGCAATGTTACTGAGAGTGCAACGAAGGTGTAACGTGCTGTTAAGGATCTTGTGTCTAGCCCTTACACAAACTGTTGACGTTCTTTTCACGTTAGCTTCACATTGACGAGGCAAAATGTTACGTTATAAACTAGAAATTCCCCATTCAATACGTCAACCGAGATGTTACCGAGAGTGCAACGAGGGTGTAACGTGCTGGGACGGAGCTTGTGTCTAGCCCTTACACAAACTGTTGACGTTCTTTTCACGTTAGCTTCACATTGACAAGGCAAAATGTTATGTTATGAACTGGAAATTTCCCATTTAACCCGTCAACCGATATTTTACCGAGAGTACAACGAAGGTGTAATGCGCTGGGACGGAGCTTGTGTCTAGCCCTTACACAAACTGTTGACGTCCTTTTCACGTTAGCTTCATATTGACAAGGCAAAATGTTACGTTATAAACTAGAAATTTCCGAATTAACCCGTCAATTGAGACTGTTGCTTATCTCAGAACGCAATTTTGGTAACGTGACCAGCGTGTTTTCTTTCGCTTCCAAAAGAGGTCTGGTAGTTTTCCAGAATAGTTTTTGTTAAAGTTTTGTATATAATCATATGAAAATGTTTTTGTGAACCTAAATATTTTTCGATACTTTTGTTTATATTGCAAACACAAAACTACTTTTTAAGTCGCAAAAACAAGGGATGGTGAACCATTCCTGTGTGTTAGCTTGGAGTAGTATAGGTAATAGGGGTTCTGGACCACTTCCACTGGAGCCGGATTCATATACCTATACTGCTACTACAGATGGAATTTTTTATGCCAAAATGATGATGCGATTTAATGATAGTCATGAGATTAAGTTAAATTGGCTCTAGCTCACCAATACCTGGGGCCAATCATTGCTTTAGATGAGCCTAAATGGTAATAAAAATATTCTTCATTATTTTTATCGATAAAGCGATATTCAACATTTTTATTAAGTTCTTCGTTCATTTTACTAGGAGACCAGACTATATAACTACACTCTTTTTGTAAATTGATAAGAAACAATTGATAACCGTATTTGGTTGGTTTGGCATCACTGATATAATAAAAACCTTGTGGTAATTCTTTCCATTGAATAGCTTTCTCCATTATTATATATTTATGTTAGCATTTGTCTAAATGTAATCACATGATAGTAAGCAATCTATTTTTAATCTCCAACCAGTTCTTTGGTTTTGGCACGGAATAATTGACGAGCTTGTTGCCCCCCCTCTTCTATGAACTTTTTTTTCTCGTCTTCGCTAATACCACTGGTCTTACGAGATTTTGATCGAATCTCCTGCTTCATTTCGTTGTATTTGTTAAGCTCCGACAGCACTAAACGAAACTCATCCTCGGATATCTTACTATCGGCCATTGCTGTCGAAATATGATCCTCAATGCTGTTCAACTTTGCTTCGGCGAGTATCCGAATACTATCGTGTTTTAATGCTTTCTTTTGTAACCTACGAGAAATGAATTTTATCGCTATTCCTGCCAGTCCCGATACTCCAGCGGTTATTTCCATGCCGAGCACGATAGGCGCGGCGATTATAGTTGATAGTAAACCGATACCCGCTACACCGAGTCCCATGCCAGATACTATAAGAGCGGTGTGAACTCCGTCCAGAGCATTCACGGCTCTGCGATACCTTTTATACAATCCAAGTCTCAACTCCCTATCCTTCTCTATTCGATGTTTTATGTCGCTTATTTGATGTAATCGAAATCCATCAACAGTTTCCATCTTTTCCAATGCTTCATTGAGCGCCGGATATAAACTCATAGTGTATATAACGATCATATAATAGTCTTTAATTGGTCTTGCTTAAATGTTTTGAGACTATACATCAACCTTATTAAATGTATATTATACGGCAAGAATATCTTAGAAAGAGAAATACTACCACTTTTAATAATTTGGACCCCCTCGAGGGTTGCAACAGGCGATGCTCCGATATGAATAATACTGCAACGTTGACGCTCGTGATTCTTGAACCATTTAATCGATAGACCTGGTAATATTTCGAAGGCATCTACCGGTACATCTCCGAACAAGACTTCAATAATAAGCGTAGAAATATTAGGTATTGCACTCAGGTTAACTTTAATATCTTCGAATTCAGTAACCAAATTTAAACTAATGTTTTTTAAGGACGGACTACTATATAACATATGACCTGGGTTTTCTGGCAGGGGAGTAACCAACACACTTTTTCGTTTTGACGGGATATAAGCCGCGAGTACGATGCCACTATTTATTATCTTAGTTAAATTATGTCCCTTACCCATCATCACATAAGGTGGGATAATGACGATATTCAGTAGCCACTCGATGTTTGCTTCGACCATAGTCCATTTATTATCATCGTTGCGAGTAATATTGTACGAAGTGTTTTTAAGGAGTCTACTAACATCGACATCGCTTAAATCTCCTAGATTACCCGTGAATGTGACTTCTTTCCGCTTGTATACATTATCGTGTAAGTGTAAAGCGTATAACTTACCATTGTAACCGGGTTTATCAAATCCTTCTGTGTCTCCGAGATCGGAAAGCACAATTGTATTACATTGTCTTACTGTTCCAGGGCCTGATGCATCAACCATTATTTTTAATATGGAGTGTTACACTTAAGTATCCTATATGTACAGGTTGATGTTTTACATCTGATATAGAAATTTTGAGGTCTGAAATAATACCACGCTTCAATTTTTTATATTGTAATGACGAGAAAGATTCCGTTCTACCGCTATTATATTTTTCATTTTTCACTGGAACACTTCTGAGCAAAGTTGAAGGACTTTCTAGTTGAATATTATTTGTCGTACTGATTTGATCAAGATGGATACACAACTCTTTATAGGGAACTAAATCGGACAATGTCTCTCCATCAAATGTTGCCTTGAATATTGATAAAATTCCGCGTGTAAATCCAAGTGTAGCTGATAAGTTCCCTACAATCCGTACACCTTTTTCTCCAGTGTCAAATTTCAACATTCCATTGGACTCATTTTGTGTTAGACTAATTCTATTAGACTTAAAAATTTCATCATTGAGTGAGCATACGCTGTAATACCCATCAGGTATAATAATGAATTTTTCAATAATATTTTGTTCATCTAATATCCATATCTTATTATTACCTCTCGCAGCACTTATATTGGTCCACAGTGGGTAATATGTTACGTCGCATAGAGCGACTTCGAGTTGTCCATCCGAGTTATCGATAGTATGAAGCAGTTCAATAGACTGGCCATTTGTTATTCCCGGGAGTGTAACATACATATTAAATATACAATGATACTATATCATAACTTAAATATGGAATCAACCATTATATAATATGGAGTGTTACACTTAAGTATCCTATATGTACTGGTTGGTGTTTTACATCTAATACAGAAATTTTAAGGTCTGAAATAATACCCCGCTGCAATTTTTTATATTGTAATAACGAGAAAGATTCCGTTCTATCGCTATTATATTTTTCATTTTTCACTGGAACACTTCTGAGAAGAGTTGAAGGACTTTCTTGTTGAATATTATCCGTCGTGCTTATTTGATCAAGATGAATGAACAACTCTTTATAGGGAACTAAATAGGGTAATTCATAATTTCCAGCCACTGATGAGCCGCGTGATAATGTTACTCCCTTTCCCAATCCAATTGTGTATCCTAAGTTATCACTAATAATTATTTTTCCGTATCCATTGATGACTTTCACTTTCCCAGTCGCCTCATTTTGTGTGATACTAATTTTACCAGTATTATCAAATTCATCATCATCCTTAAAATAATCATTGAGTGAGCTTATGCTGTAATACCCATCAGGTATAGTAATAATATTATTAATTCTATCTTGGTCATCTAATATAAATATCTCATTATTATCTCTCGCAGCACTTATATTGGTCCACAACGGGTAATACGTTACATCGCATAGTGCGACTTCGAGTTGTCCATCCCAGTTATCGATAGTATGAAGCAGTTCAATAGACTGACCATTTGTTATTCCAGGTAGTGTAACATACATATTAAATATACAATGATACTATATCATAACTTAAATATGAAATCGACTCACATTACTAATCAATCGATTATGGTAACTGCCTCCGGTGCTGAGTTTACCGTTAAATTCCACGATATCTTTGAAAAATACAGTTTCACGGCAACTAACGATACAATGGTGGACGATTGGTTTAACCGTCCGATGCAATTTTGGCAGAATCAGTTAAACTTTGCCGTATGGTGTGCCACAACGGGATGTGGTGTATCTGTTAATGCCCAAGGATTTAAACTATATAAGTCTGTTATATTATTTCACATGTACTATCAGATTAGACGTATACTTAAAGAAATTATTGCTCCATTACCGATGGATCCAGCATGGAATCATGCAAATAATCATTATAATAAGAGGGCCTTCGAACGTATTTGTAATGAATTTAATGTTTCTACGAGTAAAGATTGGCGCATTAGTGGACCTAGCCATGGTCTAGGTATTCCGTACAATGGACAAAGAACTATTAAAGATAAAAGCGATTATTTA